TACTTTTTCCTCTTAGCAACAGTAACCAAGGGGTTAATTTGGAGAAATAAAGCCAGAATTTCGAGTAGAAAGTAGAATGTTTTTGTTCTTTCCTTTTTTTTGGAGTAATGAAGATTTTATTGATGTGTGTGTAATGCATAATTCATAGTAGATCAGGAAGTGTTTGCTTTGGGATGGAAACCTAGTATGTTTAAAACCATTTCTTTATTGGACATTTTGTTAGACAATATGAGGTGTTGAACTAGATCTGCTATTTTACAGCTTTTGTGAGACACTTTTTATAAACTAGGGCATTCATTCATAAAAAAAAGTTTATTTGAATTCTAGAAATCAAAGTTTTCTGCCCAACAGCAATGATGAACTGCGCTGCAGCATTCTATACCCAGCAACTGTAGCATCTAGGCTAGAGCTGTCAGTCTGGGAAAGAATAACCATTAACTGGTTAAATGTTTTATGAACTGAAACATAAAAAACTAACTAGACTAAAACCTTTTTGAGTTTTAGTTAACTAAAACTGACTAAAACTATCACGTCCTAATGACTAAAATACAACTAAAGGCTGATTTATACTTCTAAACTACGTTTGCTTAGGTGTCGCAGTGAACAAAAAGACGTCCCCGCCCCCTCCGCAGACACTCTGCTGCACCTCTCCCAAATAGTAGGTTACTGCAGACAGTGCCGCTGACAGGAAGCCGGCTTGTTTTGTTTTTATGACCGAAATTGCAGAAAACAACTTGTGAAGATGGACCAGCTAGAAGAGCGAGGTGCGCGAGAACGCTGGGACCCTTTTTCAACCTGGATCTCCGCTCTTTTTGGCCCTCATGTCCCTCCGTCGTCGGACTAAACTCGCCTCACTTCCTCTCTGCCTCGGCCGTATCTAGACCCACAGCGTGTAGCACAGACCACGTTCAAAATTGAGCATAAATCAAAAATGTCTGCATCAAACTCACTGCTGCAGGAGGATAACCAGCCCTTTAGACTAATAATAGACTAAATCTAAGATAAATGTCACAAATAACACTGGATCTCATTTAAATGCAAAGTGTTGACAAAGTGTTAATCTGAAGATTTAGTTTCTTTATGAGACGTTTCACGTTCAACTCTAATGCACTTTTAGGATTGAAATGTAATTATTGGATTAAAGTGAAAACATGAGGATCATTTTGTCCCAAATTCTAATGACCCAGAATGAATGAAACAGGCTGATCTGTGCAGAACCACTAAACACCACTGAGAATGAAATGACAGTTTTAGGGTCCAGAGGAGGAGTCAGAGCAGACTGGTGACGACACACTGAGACCGTAGATTATAACTGGATGAAGAAGCTGACATCGCACACGTCTGTGTCTCTTTAGGGCCCCAAAAACCAATCTTGGTTATCCTTAAAATGAAACCATGTTCATGACTTTCATCTGAAGTTGTTTTTCACCCTGTAGGGTATATAATATATGGATATATGGATATGAAATGAATGAAGCATCTGAACAACATCGATATGAGTGGAAGAAACAAAGTTTACTGCAGCTGACCGACCAAAATACCTGCTAATACTTAGAAACCAAGGCCAGTAATGCTACGTTCACACCGACGCAGCAGGAGCAGCAAAATCGCGTCTGCTGCTTCATTTTTGCTGCTTGTACCAGTTAGTTCTGACGCGCGGCTGAAGCAGCTTTGCTGCTCTGGCTGCGCGGTCCAAAAGTGTGTCTGACACGCGTTGGGCGGAGCTTCACTATCCTTTTGTCTGCCTTGCAGCTATATTTGCTGTGATCAGTGGGAATAAAATAGTTTTAATA